GACTGAATGATCATCAATCGTGGATTCTGTAAAAAAAGTTAAGGACCAAACGATCATCAAACGTAGATTTTTAAAGAATATTTTTCAAGGACCTATTGACCAATAAACGTGGATTTTTTAAAGAATATTTTTCAAGGACCTATTGACCAATAAACGTGGATTTTTTTAAAGAATATTTTTCAAGGACCTATTGACCAATAAACGTGGATTTTTTAAAGAATATTTTTCAAGGACCTATTGACCAATAAACGTGGATTTTTTAAAGAATATTTTTCAAGGACCTATTGACCAATAAACGTGGATTTTTTAAAGAATATTTTTCAAGGACCTATTGGTCAATAAACGTGGATTTTTTAAAGAATATTTTTCAAGGACCTATTGGCTAATAAACGTGGATTTTTTAAAGAATATTTTTCAAGGACCTATTGACTAATAAACGTGGATTTTTTAAAGAATATTTTTCAAGGACCTATTGACTAGTAAACGTGTATTTTTTAAAGAATATTTTTCATGGACCTATTGAAAGAATATTTTTTATTTTTTTAAAGAATATTAAAAAAAAAATTTATTAAAGAATATTTTTCAACGACCTATAGACCAATAAACGTGGATTATATTTGCATATTTTGGTAATTTTTTAATTTTTTTTTAAAGAATATTTTTTATTTTTTTTAAAGAATATAAAAAAATATTATTTAAAGAATATTAAAAGAATAAATTATTTAGTAATGCAATTAAATCTGCACCGATTCCCATTCAACTTTATAATTGCTGGCATAAGTGCGTTCCCAGGAAAATTGATGCCCTAACAAATGATTTATTGTCATGGGAATTAGTTGATCACTTACAAATTGTTGCTATTGTTAAATTAATTTTATTGTTTAATTTTTGTTTTTGACAAGTTCGCAATACAAATCATTGTTATATTTATTAATTAATAAGATCGCCATAATTTTGCAAAATCATCTTCAACTTTTTTTTTTATTTTTTTTTGTTAGGTAAAAACTTGTTTGAGTTGTTACTGTACCCATTATTGTCAGATCACGCGAATCACCATCTAAAAACTATATTCGAACACAGGCTAAAGAGGTGGTACGAAAAACCCAGCTAATTCTATTATATTAGTTCACAAGTCCATATTTATTTTTATTTTTTTTTTTTTAATTTTAGCAAAAGAAATATTAAACCTCAATTTGAAGGCGAACAAAATCAAGACCTATAACTACTGGCCAACAACGTCCTACATGACTCTAGCTGACCTGGAACCTATTGAATGGTAGGTAGTTGTAATTATACTCCAGCTTTTGTTTAATTTTGTTTGCCTAATTACAATGGCTGCCTCCCATAGCTCAATGATTCTCCTATTTATTATCTTAATCATAGACTGCTGCCCTGGTTGCATCCCGTTTTTTTGTTTGCCCATTATCCTCTGTAACCAAATTTTCCCTGGATTATTTGAACCACAATTACAGTAATTTTCATTTTGCAATGAAAAAAAGAAACAACCACAACAAAAAAATTAGCATTGACGAGATTAAGGTCGTACTTTACCCTATTTATCTTCAGTTCAGTGATGAAAGCACAAAACTCCAGAATCAACAGGTGATGCATATCCTGTAACGAATTGAATTGGGAAAAGGTGTGAGAAGTTATCTACGTGTGTGTGAGTAGTTGTGATTTCACCATAGAGTAATGTTAAGGCTAATGTTAATCTAAAATGTTAACCCAGTGAACTTTTCAACTCGAATTAGATTTTAATTCAGATAAACGCATATTGGAAATGCGTACGGCACACAAAAGCGAAAGAGAATAACTGAACAACTAACAGTGGCTATGGAAGACCCGAAGGTTTTATCATAGAAAACCAGGATGCTTTTTCAGAAAAAGTGGAAGACAGAAAGAATTTTTATCGATGGGCGGTTTTCTGATAAAGAGCAGAAGATGTTCCCAGAGACAAGTAGGAGATTTTTTTATATGATTTTCTCATAAAAGAGCAGAAGGTTTTATTTTGTTATTTCAAAAATATTTTTAAAACAATTCACGACTAAAGGTCGTTTGGTCCTTGAAAATTTTCCTTTAAAAGATCCACGATTTATAACCCGTTGGTCCTTGAAAATTGCCTAAAAAAAATCAACTATTGATGATCGTTTAGTCCTTAGAAAATATTCTTAAAAAATCAAGATTGCTAGTCGTTTTACTCTTGAAAATACAGGAAATATTTATAGAAGAACAGAAGAAGAAGCAGAAGGTCTTCTCCGTGAAGAGCAGAAGGTCTTCTTAGATAAGAGCAGAAGGTCTTCTTAGATAAGAGCAGAAGGTCTTCTCATAGAAGAGCTTAAAGTCTTCCCAGAGAAGAGTTGAAGGTCTTCCCATAGAAGAGCCGAAGGTCTTCTCATAGAAGAGCTGAGAGTCCTCGCCTTGAAGAGCAGAAGGTCTTCTCCGAAAAGAGCTAAACCTCTTCTCCTTGGAGAGCAGAAGATCTTTTCAGATAAGAGCAGAAGGTCTTCTCTTAGAAGAGCGGAAGGTCTTCTCAGAGAAGAGCTGAAGGTCTTCTCAGAGAAGAGCTAAAGGTCTTCTCAGAGAAGAGCTAAAGGTCTTTTCAGAGAAGAGCAGAGGTCTTCTCAGAGAAGACCAGAGGTCTTCTCAGAGAAGAGCAGCGGTCTGCTCAGAGAAGAGCTAAAGGTCTTTTCAGAGAAGAGCTAAAGGTCTTTTCAGAGAAGAG